CGCTTGGGTTGTTTGTTCAAAATGCTGCTCTCGCTGAAGCGCGGGCCTCATTTTCGGGCCACCGCTCGTTCCGAATCCTGCTCCCGCTGCAGCGTTGGCCTCATTACCGCGCTTCCACTCGTTCAGAATCGTGCTCCCGCTGCAGCGCTGGCGTCATTGTTTCCCATGCCATGCCACGACATGGTTTTTTGGTCCTTCCAAACAGGCACCAACATCATAAATGGCATCCCGAAGAGACCATGGGATATGGTTACACATGCGCTGTCGGTTCGTTGATTGTGTGGATCAGGGAAGCCCCCTCCCACACTTTGACCATGTTACGACATCCGATTGTGCGAATAGAAAGGGGATCTACGCCATGGTAGGGGATGGGAGGGAGGGATAGGACGTTAGATATGACGCGAGTGCACCTGGCTTGCCCCCCCCCCAATCCCTTCTCCACCTCCTCCTCCTCCTCATGCTCCTTCTCCCGCCGACCTTTTTCTCCCCCCGTCCCCCTCCCACTACCCCACTTCCACCGCCCAGATAACTCCTACCTGTCGCACTCCAGACGTGACAATAGGGCGGGCCATGCGTACCACCAAGTATGCCCCTGACGACTGAAAGTTGCAACAGTTGTATGAATGGAGGGCAGGTCGTTTTCAAAATGGGGCCCTCGCCATTGCGCCGCGCGCATTCGACTAAAAAGCTAGCCAAAGCAAGCAACAGCTACGTGAATGGAGGGTGGTGGTTTTCAAAATGGGCATCTGGTCTGAGCGCCGCGCGCGTTCGTCGTAACAGTTTGCAACGGCTACATGGATGGAGGGTGTGGTGTTCAGAGCGGGGCACGCGTCTTAGCGCCGCGCGCATTCGTCCTAGACGTTTCTTGCAGCCACGAGGATGGAGGACAGGTCAGTTTCAACACGCGACTCTCGCTTGAGACTGGCTCGCATGCTGCTACTAGAAGGTTGAACATATGTAGCCGATGCACGGATGGAGGGCAGGTCCGTCTAAAACTGGGACTCACGCTTCAAAGCCCCTCAAGCTTACTGGCCAGAATTAGATCATGGCGCAACAGCTGTACAAATGGGGGGGCTCCTTGGACACACCGTTGAACTTGTATGATCAGCTCGCGCTCTGTATCACTCGATAGACGGAGGCAGTTCCATGTCAAAACTGGGCTCTCGCTGGAATGACTGGCACAAAGACTCCTTGACCTATATGCCTTCACGGGGCACTTCTTGTAGTGGACTAGGAAGTTTGTAGAGACTTGTAAGGAAGGCACTTGGGACGGGAGGGTGTATTGCAGCATCGCTGACGCATCCTGGATTTACACTGGACCTACTGATCATCTCTGGCGGCCTCCTCCTGGGGAGGCGAGGCAGGAAGGACGGATGGAAGAGCGATCCTCGATTTCGGAAATGGTGGAACACTTTTCAGAGGTCTCTGGGAACCTCTTGGGACGAAGGGAAGAAGTAGGGGAGGGATGGAGTGTGGGGGGGAGGAAGGACGGAGGAGCCAACGACCAAGCGGAGCCCATCGACCCCTGGAAACGTCAAACAACCTCGAGCCTCGATCCTCCAGGAGGGGGTGGAAGTGGAAAGGGAAGGAGTGCGGGAGGGAGGGACGGAGGGGGGAGGGGCCAACGACCGAGCGGAGTCCGTGAGCCCCCAGAAACATCCAACATCCTCGAGTCTCAATCCTCAAGGGTGAGGAGGAGGAGGAGGAGGAGGAGGAGGAGGAGAGAATAAGGAGGAGCAGGAGCAGGAGGAGGAGGAGGAGAAGGAGGAGGAGCAAGAAGGGAGGAGGAGGAGGAGGGAAGGAGGAGAAGGAGGAGGAGGAGGGGGAGGAGACGAAGAGGAAAAGGAGGAGGAGGAGAGGAGGAGGAGGAGGAGGAGGAGGAGGGAGGAGGGGGATGGAGGAGGAGGAGCAGAAGGAGGAGGAGGAGGAGGAGGAGGAGGAGGAGGAGCAAGGAGCAAGGAGCATGGAGCATGGAGCATGGAGCATGGAGCATGGAGCATGGAGCATGGATCGGACTGCCTCCTAAGAGGCGGGTCCTGGAGGAAAAAATGCAAACAACGAGCAAGACGCACGAGAGCCGAGAGAGGCGACCCGAACGAGGGCCAGACGGACCCGAGCCGAGCCCGCGCGATCAGGAGGGAGGCCCGATCGACCAGGAGACGATCAACGACGGTGCTGCGAGCACTGAGCACTGGAGGAGGACATATAGGAGGACGACGAGGAGAAGGAGGAGGAGGAGGAGGAGGAGAAGGAGGGGGAGGACGAGGAGAAGGAGAGGACGAGGAGATGGAGACGAAGGAGGAGGAGGAGGAGAGGAAGAAGGAAAGACGCCGCAGCCCACCAGCCTGCCAGAGCCTGCGCAGAGCCAACGGAGGAAGGAGGACGAAGACGAGGAAAACGAGGAGGGCGAGGAGGAGGAGGAGGAAGAGGAGGAGGAGGGCGAGGAGCAGGAGGAGGAGGAGGAGGAGGAGGAGGAGGAGGAGTGGGAGGACGAGAAGGAGGAGGAGGGAGGAGGAGGAGGAGGAGGGGGGAGCAGGAGGAGGAGGAGGTGGAGGAGGGGAGCAGGAGGAGGAGGAGGTGGTGGAGGAGGGGGAGCAGGAGGAGGAGGAAGAGGAGGAGAAGGCGAGTCCTGGTGGCGCGCACGCCTCCGGACTCCGCGCCCTGCGCGCGGAGGGTGGCGGCGCTCTGTGCTCGGGCCTGCCAGGGCCGGAGGGGAGCGGGGGGCAGCAGAGGTGGCGGCCTCCCAGATGGCGGGTTCCAAAACCCCTCCTGCTCCTCTCCCCCTCAGTCCTCCTCCTCCTCCTCCTCCTCCTTTTCTCCTCCTCCCCACCTCCCTCCCTCCCTCCCTCCCTCCCTCCCGCCCTCCTTCCCTCCCTCCCTCCCTCCCTCCTCTCCTCTTCCTCCTCTTCCTCCTCCTCCTCTTCCTTCTCACCTTCTCCTCCTCGTCCTCCTCCTCCTCCTGCTCCTATTCCTCCGCCGCCTCGGCCTCCGCAATCTCTTCCTACTCCATCTTAGATGAAAATTATTCGCAGTATTCTTACGAGTCGCAGTAGTTACATTATAGTACTCGCCTTAATATCATCATATCAGCATTCATAAATACAATGATAGTGTGTGTCGTCGTCGTCTATTCGTCTATGAGGTATTGTTCGTAGGAACCGTATCCGTACTATTGGTAGACTTGGTTTTCTCCGTACTGTAGTAGTAGTAGTAGTAGTAGTAGTAGTAGTAGTAGTAGTAGTAGTAGTAGTAGTAGTAGTAGTAGTAGCAGTAGTAGTAGTAGTAGTAGTAGTAGTAGTAGTAGTAGTAGGAGTAGTAGTAGCAGTAGTAGTAGTAGTAGTAGTAGTAGTAATAGTAGTAGTAGTAGTAGTAGTAGTAGTAGTAGTAATAGTAGTAGTAGTAGTAGTAGTAGTACCACCGTTATTACTCATACGAATAATGCTAAGGATATTCATAGTAGTAATCGTATGAATAGTATGATAATGGTTCGTATTATTCTTTGTAGTATGATCACTAGTAGTGCTAGCGTTGATAGTATTAGCATGTGTGTTAAGATGATGCATCTTAGTATGGATAGTAGTATGAGTCGTCGTAGTATTCTAAGTCGTTTTCGTGTTGTTGCGGTTAGTAAGAGTGAGGGGAACGAACGGTCATTCATTGTCCCTGGGTGGGTGGCTGAAGTGGGGACGCTTGGTGAGGGTTATGTGTGCTGCGTTGCTGTTGTTGCTGTTGCTGCTGCTGTTGCTGTTGCTGTTGTTGCTGGTGGTGTTGGTGTTGGTGTTGGTATTGGTGGTGGTATTGTTGCTGTTGCTGGTGCTGTTGTTGGTGTTGCTGTTATTGTTGGTGGTCGTGCTGCTATTGTTGTTGTTGGTGTTGCTGTTAGTGTTGGTGTTGGTGTTGTTGTTGGTGGTATTATTGTTGTTGTTGGTGGTGTTGTTGTTGTTGCTGTTGTGATTGTTGTTGTTGCTGTTGTTGGTGTTGTTGTTGTTGGTGTTGTTGTTGTTGCTGCTGTTGTTGTTGTTGATGATTGTTGTCGTCGTCCCACACGCGACCCACCCGCGAACCACACCGCGACCCACCTTGCGACCCACCACGCGACCTACCTTGCGACCCACCCCGCGGCCCACCCCGCCACCCAACCCGCGACACACCCGCGACCCACCCCGCGACACACTCGCGACCCACCCGCGATCCACCCGCGACCCACCCGCGACCCACCCGCGACCCACCCCGCAACCCATCCGCGACCCAGCCGCGACCTACCCGCCACCCACTTGCGACCCACCCGCGACCCACCAGCGACCCACCCGTGACCCAACAACGACCCACCCGCGACCCGCCCGCGACCCACCCGTGACCCATTTGCGACCCACCCGCGACCTACCCACATTGGTTGAACGAAAAAATCGGCGCCTGGGGCGAGCTCGTTGCATAAATTGTGAAAATTGGCGACTGCGGCGGGCTTCTCCAGAGTCTCGCAAACTGCTGGCGTCCCCACCGCCTCCTCAATATTATCCGCATCTGCGGGGTGCTACGTCTTATAATTCCTCCTCTTCCTCATCCTTTTCATCCTCCCCCTCCTCCTCCTACTCGTTCTCCTCCTCCTCATCTTCCTCCTCCTCCTCCCTCCTCCTTCTCCTCCTCATCATTCTCTCCTCCTTCTCCTTCTCTTCTCCGTCTCCTCCTCCGCCTCCGCCTCCGCCTCCGCCTCCGCCTGGCCTGGGCGGCGACGAAGTCCTTGTAGAACTGGCCTTCGGGATCAGTGGACATAGACCAATCGAGAGGCCCAGGAGCACCGCCAGCAGCTGGTGGCACGGACTGCGCCGCCGCTGGCGCACCGCCCGCAGCTGACGCGTCGGCGGCCGCAGCCGTGCCTGGCGCGGGGCCGCCTCCACTCGCAGCTGGCGGCTCGGGGCTGACAGCGTGGCTCGGATGGCGTCGGCGAGCTCATTGAGCTGACACGCCTCATCGGGCACGGCCGCGCATAGCGCCGCCGCCGTGGACTCGAGCTGCGCCAGCTGCTGGTTGGGGTCGACCCCACTCTTGCCCGCCATGGCGCTGTAGGCCTCGGCGGCCTTGGCTGCTGCTGCTGCTGCAGCCTGCTTCTTGAGTAACCCGAGCGGGGCGCGGCAGTTGGCCATGCGCTGCATGGCTTTGACCGCGGCCTCCTGACTTTTGTCGAAGGTGACTACCTACCAGACCACCCCAACCCAACCCGAAGGCCCGAATTTGACCCGAATTTCGGGTTGGGGGGATACGGATTCCATGTGTTTTTTCGATGTTCCCCGACCCCCCCCCACTGGAAATCGAGAATAAATTTGGGCCTTCGGGTTGGGTTGGGGTGGTTTGGTGGGTGGTGAGAAGGGACTCTGGGCTTGCTCGACCTGCCGGCGGAGCGAGCCCGCGGCCTGCCGGCGCGGCCTTGGCGGCGAAGGCTGGGGGCGCCAGAGCCGAAGGCACGTCTCGCCGCCACGTGGCCAATCTGCTTGGCCAACCAGTCGCATGCGAGCGTCTCGGAGCCAGCTGGGGGTATCCGAGCATACACCGTGACGAGCTCGTCCGTGAGCTGGAGCTGTTGCTGCTGCGGCTGCTTGGGCGTCTTGGACGGGGGCGCTTTTGACCCAAGCCCCGCGGACGACACCACCTGGCTGCCCATTGCCGCCAGGCGGGAGCCTGTGGGGAGCTGAGCCACAGATGCGGCAGCTCGTACGCCAAGAGCAATTGCCTTTGTATCCGCACCCCCTTGTTGGTGCACGTCCAACCAGAGAAGCCATCCATCGGAAAGGTTACGAAACGAGACGCGCGGAACGGTACCGTACACAGAGTGAGTGTGCGAGCACCTGCGCTGGCAATCGGGGCCGCGAAATCCTCACGCCAAAATACAAAGTCTCTGAGCCACCGCTACGGACTTGAGCCAAAATGGCTACGGACTCCTCCTCCTCCTCCTCCTCCTCCTCCTCCTCCTCCTCCTCCTCCTCCTCCTCCTCCTCCTCCTCCGCCTCCTCACTCCCGTTCCAAAAAAAAACACTCCAAACTGGTGAACTTCTCCTCGGGGCCCCAAAACCATGTGATGACGGACCGCGTGCTGACCTCGGGATGCCCAACGACCTTCCCCACGCGGTCCGACGCCACACGGTTTTGGGACGCTGGAGACCCCTGGCGCCCAAGATATCCTCGGAGAACGACCCGAGTCCCAAAACCGTGCGGTGACCCCAAATCCCCACCGACTCACCACACGGTGTGGTCACCACACCGTGTGGGGGCCCCCGCTTCTCTTAGGGACACGTGTTTTACTTCTGCAAGGTTCGCGCCGGCCTCCCGCCGGCTTCCGCCAACGGAGCCGCTCCCTTCTTGCTTCCATCGGCTTCCGCCGTGGAAGAGGTACCTGCCCCTCAATCCCTCGAAGGCGAGGTCCTTGCTGGAACGCCGCAAGTCGGGCCACAGTGGGTCCGATCGGAGGATCGCAACGCATCGACGGTGCATCGGCGGCGTCGGGGTGGAGAAGATCGGGCTCCAGATCGAGCAGCGTCGCCGATGCAGCGGCGATGCGGCGCGATCCCCTGGCCCCACCTACTCTGGCCAATTCGGGAGACCTGGAAAGCGGGGGGGGCTATACGACAGAACTCCAACGTCGCTAGGTCGCGAGCTGCGAACATGTCCGTACCCGCGCACTCGCGGTCTGGCCCCGGGGGCGTAATCCTGCGGACACGCTGTCGCACGGATGCGCTCCGCGCGGGGGCAATCGGCGAACAAGTGCTCCGTGCCCGCGGGGCCGCGGCCCAGGGGGCCAGCCCGCGAGGTTGTGGATATGGTAGAGGGAAACAATTACTGAACACTCCCCCTCCCCTCCAAACTCGACGTTGGCACGCGCGGGACAGACTGCGGTCGAAGTGCATCCCGTCAGACCCACCGCCAACTTTGAACATTGGGGGGAGGGGCAGGCGTTGACGGATGAATGTGGCATGTGTGCGCTAATTTGTTCCGAGGCCTATACGGATCTGCTTTCGCCCACGATCCAGAACCCCAGAAGCCGAGATACACATAAACCAAAAACTCTCCGAGGTGGGTGCGGACCTCTTGGGTCGGCGACGGACCGTGGCCTCCCGGAGCGCGCCACGGGGGCAAAACCGCGCAGACAACCGAACTCTTGGGCTTATGCTGCTTTTCGTCGACCAGGCTCCCAACGCCCAGAAAAATCACGACGGCTCTCGTCTCGTCATCTCGATACCCGGGAGCTGTTCTCGACGCTCGGGACCGTCAAAAAAGGTCCCGGGTTGGAACAGCCACCTCGCGGGGAGGTGGTCGGGAGGTCCAGAGGAGGAGGAGGAGGAGGAGGAGGAGGAGGAGGAGGTGCAGGAGGAGGAAAAGGAGGAGGAGGAGGAGGAGGAGGAGGAGGAGGAGGAGGAGCGGGAGGAGGAAAAGGAGAAGGAGGAGGAGGAGGAGGAGGAGGAGGAGGAGGAGGAGGAGGAGGGGGCCTCTCGTGGCGCCGGCCACCGTGCACCGAAGAAGCCGCCCGGGGGGGGAGCCCAAGCCGAAGCCGGCCGCAGGCAGCGACTGCGCTGCGCTGTGCTCACCTTACTCCGAACTTCTTTCGGGTCGGGCGAAAGGGGGGGATAGCAAAGGGGGGGGGTGCGAATCAGCTCACGTAGCTGATTTTCCTGGCGCCTCCCGGCGCTGGAGGCGGCTATGTATCGAGGAATGGGCCCCTCGGTGAGGTACCTTACTCCGAACTTCTTGTGAATCAACCAGAGTTATGTTGCTCCCCTCCTACGTAAGGACCGCATCCCAGAAGTAATTTCGAGCACCCAGAAGAGTGTCGAAAAGGTGTCGAGAGAGTGTCGACAGAGTGTCGAGAGAGTGCCGAGAGAGTGTCTCCCAGGGCCCGACACGTGAAAACCCTCGAGTTTTGGGGTAGGCTCGAAATTCTTTCTGGTGATCAAGGCTAAAGTAGGTTGGAACATCATAAAACCAGGGGGTGACGAAGGTGAAAACGCGGCGCGGCCAACCCCCCCCGGCACCACCCCGCACCCCAGCGGGGAAGGGAACGGACCCCAGACCCCCCCTGGCAACCCCGCGGACGCGCCGCGGCTAACCCCCCCGGGCACTCCAAGGGGGGGGCGATTATCAAGCGATCCAGAGTACAGGTGCCGCGAGTTGGGACCGAAGCGCCCACAGCAAACCCAAAAGTAACTCACAGGGCGTCGTCGCGAGACAGCCCCACAGGGGCGACGATCAAAAACGGGTCTTGCACGGGATGGCATAGCGACCTTCCGCGGGGGCTTACGCGGGCCGCCAGCGCGGCACGCTACATTGGAGACGAGGGCGCTTGTGCGCGACCTCACGCGGGAAGCTGACGCGCCAATGTCGGCGCAGACGACCTTGTGTTTAGCGTCGCTCACATGCCTGAGGCGGCACACCTCATCACCGCGTGGGCGCCTCCGGAAACCCTGAGCCCCATATGTTGAAGCCTCACGTCTACTCCCGACGCTTTCCGCCGACCTTCCGCCCGCGGACTGGCCACCGTTCTACAGTCGGGGTGTTGACCTAAGGAACCCCAAATAAGGAACGAGGCCCCTTTTTCCCATAAGTTCAACCTCGATTTCCTATGGGAAACCTCAGGAAAACCCGAGGCAAACTTTGAAACAATCAAGGAACACCGAGCCCCTCCCCAGCGAAAAGGGTTCCTTCGTCAGCGCCCCGACTGTACTTCGGCGTCCGCCAGCATCGACCAAAGGCGACATGCGCCGAAATCAAGGCCACCTCTTGAACGCCCCCCCGTGAACAGAGTCACTGAAGGGGCCCACAAACACACAAATAAATACACAAATTAAATGGTTCCCCATATTTTCTTATGTTTTCTGGGTTTTTGTCTTCCCCCCCACTTCCCATATTTTCCCATATTTTCGAGGGAATCGACGATGAATTGTGTCTGTGTGTTTTTTCCCTTCCTGAGCCACGCGCGTCTCCCGGCGACGCGCCGAGGGGGGAAGTGGGAGGGGGGGGGCAGACCTGCGCAGCGGGCGGCGGGGCTCCTCGGAAGCCCCCCCCCTGGCCTTCCCGAGGAGTCCCCTGCGGCCCCGGAGGAGGCTCCAAGAGCTCCTCAGCAGGTCGGAGGCCATCTTGGGAACCCCCAAACCGGGTGGTGAGATACCAGGTGGCGACCTGGAATCCCCAAAAAGGTCACCGCTGGGTTTGGGGACGCGGGGTCACCGCCGGGTTTTGTGACTCCTGGACCCACCAGCGTCCGGGACATCCTCGGAAAACCGCACGAGTCCCCAAACCGGGTGGTGACACCGAATCGCCCGAGACTCACCGCCAGGTGTTGTCACCACCACGTTTGGGGACTACCAACCATCTGAGACTTTTTGAGAAGGCCTGACCTTAGTGGGCCCCGGGAACGGAAGGGCCGTTTTTTCACCGTTTCCAAAAAAAAGTGTCCCTGGAAAATGGAAACGGCAAAAAAACGGCGACCGGAAACGGCAAAAAAACAGCTCCAGGATTGGAACCGCAGCCAAAACCGGTCAAGAAACGGCGACGGAACCGGTATAAAAAAAACGGCAAAACGGAACCGGCAAAAAAAACGGCAAAACGGAACCGGTAAAAAAACGGCCCTGTCGTTCCCAGGGCCCACTGAGGGCCTGACCCCTCTGCCTTCGCCCCCGGTCGCGCCGCCGACTCTCAGTCATCGGCAGCAGCGGCAGCAGATCTCGTGGCGCTCCCGGCGACGACGCCGTCGGCGTCGTCGCCGGCGGCGGCGGAGTCGACGTCGAAGTCGTCGTCGTCGTCGTCCACATCTGCTCGGGCCCCCCGGGGCCTGGGCCGTTCTCTCCGCCTCGGGGCGCGCGCGCGGGTGGGGCCTCCCCGCCGCCGCCGCCGCCGCGGCTCCTCGTCGTCGTCGTCGCCGCCGCCGCCGCCGCTATGGGAGATGGAGGAGTACGAGGAGTTTGTATTGGCTGGAAGAGGGAATAGCAGGCACGAGGGAGGAGTCAAGAGCAATCGGAAGGAAGGGACGAGAGAGAGGAGGAAGAGGAAGAGAAGTCGAGGGAAGAAAACCCTCCAGACCCCCCCCCTCCTTAAACCATTGAAAACCACGTCGGAACCATCGGGCGCCGCCTCGGAACCATCAGAGGCCACCTCGAGACCATCGGAAGCCGCCCCCAGACCAGTGGAAGGTGCCCCAAAAGCAGCAGACACCTCAAGTCCATCCAATGACACTTCGGAACCATCTGAAGCTGCCCTGAAACCAGCGACAGCCAAATCTAAAACCTCTGGAGCCTCCATGCGATCACCGGGAGGCGCCACAGACACATGAGACCCACCCACGAGACCCAGAGATCGATCTACCACTTCTGAGCTCAGGGGTGGGGTGGTGAGTCAGGCAACGATTGCAGCAAGGACAAGATACAAAGTAAGGATGGTATGCCAGAGAGAACCGATGTTGAAACAATTGCAGCCGCGCCTATGCTGAAGAAATGGCCGAGAATGGGCCGACCAAGCAAGGATGTAAACGTAGCCTCACTGAAGTGAGTCTTTCGTCGCGGATGGCTTCCTGAAGGCTCCTGGGCCCGAGAAGAGCCCCTGGATGCCTGGACTGTAAGAAAACGTCCGGCGCTCTATGCTTTCGTGGCGCTCTGAGGTCTCAGGGTCGGCCCATGCGCTCTCGCTCCGAAGGAGTCAGCTGTCCCCTCCTGGACACCACATCCTGACCAATGCTTAGAGGCGCGTCCAAACCTTACCGCGGACGCCCCTAGGCCCTAGGAGGCTCCCCGAAAATCTAAAACGTCAGAATCCTCCTCCTCCTCCTCCTCCTCCTCCTCCTCCTCCTCCTCCTCCTCCTCCTCCTCCTCCTCCTCCTCCCGTCGAGCCCGCACGACAACTGGCGTCAGAGACCCCCTTTCGACAAAGTGACCACTGGCAGGCCGCACTAGATTTGAGACAGCTCTCATGCTCTAGTCGAGGCAGAGTAGCACCGAACGGCCCGAGAGCTCGATCGATCGATCGATCCGCCTCCTCCTCCCACTCGGGAGCCCGGGGCTTTCACTTGGCTGCAGTCCCTCATCCCTCATCCCGAGCCGTCTCTTCGACGGCCCTTGAGGCACGGGAGGGACCCATGGAGCCCGGAAACGGCTGAAAGCCTCGGGACCCCTCTCCATCGGGGCGACGACAACAACTGACGACAACGACGACGACGATGACGACGACGACGACGACGACGACGACGACGACGACGACGACGACGAACGACGACGAACGACGACAACGACGACGACGACGACGACGACGACGAATGGCGGCGACGAAGCAGAGGAATGGTTGCATCTGTCGCTGATCATCAAAACGAGCAATGGGGCCCAAGGCTGCTTGTCCACCGAAGCCGTGCAGTTACGACGCAGACGGTGCAGTAAGGGCCGACACAGGCTGCGCGCTATCGGTGGAGCTGAGCGGGGTTACACACAAACACACACACACACACACACACACATGCTGGGTTGCGACACGTCTCGGGTCGAACGGAAGGGGGTGTTGCAACGGGGGGCGCTAGCGAATCAGCTCGCGCAGCTGGCTTTCTCGCCGCATCTCAGCGCCAGGGGCTGCATCCCCACGCCGGGCGGCGGGACCGAAACGAGCTGCCTCCAGCAGGTTTCGTCCCCCAACCCCTCCCCATCCCCCCCCCCTCCTCAGGGGCCTGAGGGGGAAGGGAAGGGGGGACAGGCTGAGGGGGCGGAGGCCGAGGGGTAATCGAGCGGGAATCGGCGATGCAGTGCCGATAGATCGGCGATAAGCCCCCGACAGCGAAGCCACACCCTCCTGGGCGGGGTGCGCAGTCGAGCCCCCGCCGGCAGTCCATGGGCGATCAGGAGTCGATGCGCCCCCCCCCCTGAGCCGATCCTCCCCTAACGGTGCCCCTGACGTCCTCCGTCCGACCCAAGCGCCCTGAAGATCGCCGATCCTGCAGCTGCCTCTGCCCTGACCGCTCCCTGCCCCCCGCCAGCGCGCGCATGGCCTCGGAATCCGCCGCGTCGCTGTCCGCCTCAACCGCCTTGGCAGGCCTCTTGACAAACTTGCCCACCAGCAGGTGCTGCGAGGGGGGAGGAGGAGGAGATTGAATATAGCCGCGGAGGGTGGGAGTGGTAGTAGTAGTAATAATAGTAGTAATAATAGTAGTAGTAATAGTAATAGTAATAGTAATAGTAATAGTAATAGTAATAGTAATAGTAATAGTAATAGTAATAGTAATAGTAATAGTAATAGTAATAGTAATAGTAATAGTGATAGTAATAGTAATAGTAATAGTAATAGTAATAGTAATAGTAATAGTAATAGTAATAGTAATAGTAATAGTAATAGTAATAGTAATAGTAATAGTAATAGTAATAGTAATAGTAATAGTAATAGTAATAGTAATAGTAATAGTAATAGTAATAGTAATAGTAATAGTAATAGTAATAGTAATAGTAATAGTAATAGTAATAGTAATAGTAATAGTAATAGTAATAGTA